GGAATGGAGAACAGATCCCTGGGAACAAACCCTTGGGAATGGAGAACAAACCCTTGGGAATGGAGAACAAACCCTTGGGATGGAGAACAAACCCTTGGGAAGGAGAACAAACCCTTGGGAATGGAGAACAAACCCTTGGGATGGAGAACAAACCCTTGGGAACAAACCCTTGGGATGGAGAACAAACCCTTGGGAATGGAGAACAAATCCTTGGGAATAAACCCTTGGGAAGGAGAACAAACCCTTGGGAATGGAGAACAAACCCTTGGGATGGAGAACAAATCCTTGGGAATGGAGAACAAACCCTTGGGAACAAACCCTTGGGATGGAGAACAAATCCCTGGGATGGAGAACAAATCTCTGGGAACAAACCCTTGGGATGGAGGACAAACCCTTGGGAATGGAGAACAAATCCTTGGGAATGGAGAACAAATCCTTGGGAATGGAGAACAAACCCTTGGGAACAAATCCTTGGGATGGAGAACAAACCCTTGGGAATGGAGAACAAACCCTTGGGAATGGAGAACAAATCCTTGGGATGGAGAACAAATCCTTGGGAACAAACCCTTGGGATGGAGAACAAACCCTTGGGAATGGAGAACAAACGCCTGGGAACAAACCCTTGGGATGGAGAAAAAACGCTTGGGAATGGAGAACAAATCCTTGGGAATGGAGAACAAACCCTTGGGATGGAGAACAAAGCCTTGGGATGGAGAACAAAGCCTTGGGATGGAGAACAAAGCCTTGGGAAAGGAGAACAAAGCCTTGGGATGGAGAACAAACCCTTGGGAATGACAAAATTCCTACCTGAGCCGGTCGAAATTGCTCAGGAATTCCTTCAGGATCTTCGGGACGTCGTCCACGTGGACGCGCACGGAGCTCCGGGAATTCCGGGAGCATCGGAGCTCCTCCTGCCGGGAAGCGGCTCCTCCCTCCTCAGCCGGATCCGGGAGATCTCCCCCTGCACTTCCCTGGCTCTGCCGGAAAATTGGGAATTTTCCCACCGAATTCCCACCAGGATTTCCCGGTTCCCGCGGAAAACGTCGGGAGCTGAGGCGGAATTCCAGGCGCTTTTCCCGGCCTCTCCTCGGGAGATTCCAACCCTTTGTCCTTGGAGAGGAGGAATTTGGGGATGGAGAAGCATTCCCGGCCCTTGGATCCGAGATTCCCGGAGTTTCCCACCTGGCTCTTCTCCGGCGCTTCCCGGGATTTGTGTTTCAGGAAGGAATCCACCAGCTGGAAAAGGTCGTCCTCGTCCTCGATCCGGAGGGCCTGGGAAGAGGGAAATCCTTCGGAAAGAGGGATTTGGGATGGGGAGGGGAAGGGAAGGTTTGGGAAGGTTTGGGAAGAGAAGGTTTGGGAAGGTTTGGGAAGGTTTGGGAAGGTTTGGGAAGGTTTGGGAAGGT